GTTTCAGGTGGTTTCGTATATTGTTTCAGATGGTTTCAGGTGGTTTCGTAGGTTGTTTCAGATGGTTTCAGGTGATTCCAACTTTTAGTAACTACGCTAATAATTGCTATTCGATATGGCAAATATTAGAGAGGACATACCACCCGAGAAACCTCAAACATAGTTTGTTAAATATGTATAAAGTTCTCTATAATGCTGTGCAACGGTGTTAAACGATGTCAAGATGAAAGCGCAAACATTGACATTCGTTTCAACTTTTTCCTCAAAGCGAGTCTCCGAGACACCATTCCAGCTTTTGAAGTGGTTTATATAGCTTTATAGATAGTACAGAGGAGAATATAACGTATTATTGATGAATGACAACAAGACTGGAATATTCGTGATGAAAGGTTTAATCAAAGTTTCAGCACTTTTAACCTGCTTCAACAAAATCGAATATTGAAGGAAATGTTGAAATCAGTCAGTTTGTCGGTATATAGTTTGTGAGTATAGCCTGTCATTAATCATGTTTTCAAGACTATTACGATGAATCAGTGATGGTCCATAAGTAAATAAGGAAAATTCCACATGCTCACTGAACTAAACGAAGTCACGATTCTTCCACTGCGGTAATGCAAATAYATCTATCAAATAAAAAATATAACTTACTATTAAGAAATTTGTAATACGGCTCTTCTATTTGATAAAGTACGTAAAATAGAGATATTTTACTGTTGCCAGGGTTTTGAAAAAAAAACAACATTATTTTTGGTAACTATTAAAAATAGATTAACTTTACCTCCGAGCGGCTCACAGTTTGACAAAACGGAACGAATATTAATGATTTATTATGAATTTGATATAGACGAGAAAGCATTAATTACGGTGTTAAATTTATCTTTTTACACAACTGATTCATTAAGTAAAGAGCTGTTTCAGGGATTTATTTCTCAGTATTTCAGTTAAACTAAAGAACGCACATATGACAAATCTGTAATGCACTGACGTAATTAACCAGATTAACACTACCAGAATACTTTTTCCGCTTTCTTTTGTAATGAAATAAGTGCCAATTGTTTAAAAATCTAAATAAAGGACTATTAATAACAATGATAATGCTTTCTTGTAGTTGTTATGAAAGTTAAGCATCATGCAAATGGGCCTATTGTGAATTTTGTGAAGTAGAGTTTGAGTGCCTCTCGTGCTATCGTCATGTCTAAGTGGTTGACCTTTGAACCTATTTTGAGGTTTTCTTTGAACCATTTTACAGCCATTAGGAGAAAAGGAAAACAATTAACTAAAAACAATTTTTAAATTTTTAAAAGCGCTGACTGATTATACGAATCCAACCTAATGAGGATCGGTTATTTATTTGCAAAACTATATAATAAACCATGGATTGATAAAACTAATGGGAAAAAAGAGTAATAATGTTATTATTCATGACTTTGATTACAGCCGTCGGCAGGATAGTCATTAATCCATAAAATGCAAATTTGAAAACAACTAAATCTATTCGATAATATTCTTTATTTATTTAGTAATAGATATCGATCAGAGTAAAGTCATGAAGTGAATATTTGATTAAAAAGGCCTCAGTAGTGTTCTTACTTTACCATCATTGACATTATACGACAATTTTATAAAGTTGAGATAAAATAATTAGCTACCACATACCCCTAGCCCCAATATATAACGATAATTCCGGCTAAATCTTCAAATTCTGACGGCTATATTTAACTCACTTAAAATAGTTTTTGTCGTAGGGCAGAGTACCCCCAACTAAAGTTTGTATAGAAACATGAATATAACGATAAATTGATAGAACTAGAYCTTTTGCATTTATGATATTGATCAACTATTGCCTCAAGGTTTCATATGCCGTCATAGACATGATCACACTAGTCAAAGATAAACCATCATTGTAGTACCGCTTTAACAATTTATCATTATATTTGAATACATTCACACTGTAAATCACTGTAAATCTTGCTAATAAAAATAAAAATGAAAATAGTAAAAAATATAAAAATGAAAATAGTTCTAAAGTAGCTCGTCATAGGATTTTAACCACTGAATCCAAACCGTAAGGAGTACCTAAGAAAATACCACATCACGCTCAGTTGAACTTTAAGTCAAATACTTTCTAATTCATTCCCTGATAATGAAGTTTTAGTGCAGCTGTCTTTTGAAAAACGCAAAATAGAGATATCATACTGTTGGTAGGGTTTGGGAAAAATAACGATGTTTAAAAAACTATTATTGGTGACTATAGAAACAGCAACTGTGCTTAGCRGCGAGCGGCGTTTACTAGATTCAAGTCCGTCGAAAACGGAACGAACAGTAATGATTTATTATCGATATGAATTTGATATAYACGAGAAAAACATTCAATAAGTTCATGTGATTTATTTCAGAATTTTTACACTTTAAAAGCGACTACGAAATTTATGGTTAAACTAGCATCACTCGGTAATTTTATGTCATTGTTGTGTAATGGAGAATAGTTTTATTTGGCGGATGTTTGTATACAAAATACATTGTTAAATAAAAAGGTTTTAATTGTGAATTCTACAATAAAGTTTGAGTACCACTCGTGCCTGAGTGATCCTTCCAACTCATTTGTACTGGTTCATTGAACCACAAT